AACCTCTTCATAATTCAAAAGAACACCCCCAAGAACCTTCAATGTATTTGCTTCAAATCTTTCTGAAATTTGTGCAAGCTCTCAAAGAGGGTTTCAAAGGAAAGCTTTTTGGTTGAATTACTAAAGTGGGAAATGCGGTGAGACTATGCTTCAAAACAGCTGGAGGTTCACTTGCCTTTAAATTGTGAAGACTACGGTTTGTAGCAGAAAACCAGAGCCCTTCAAAGAAACAAAAAAGTGCCAAGTACACCTCATAAACAAAACCCCTTTCTCCTACTTAATCATTATATAATCATCAACACATATATATATATATCTAGCTAGAGAGAGAGAGAGAGAGAGAGAGAGAGAGAGAGAACTTTACTGCAACTGGATGGAAGCAACTCTCAACCACAGCTAGATTGCATTGCTTTACTACACTCTGCTGCAATATATACATTGAATTGATGTGAATGGTCTGATTTGACTCACAATTCTTTTTTCCTTTTTCACTTTTTTGAATGAAGGATACTGAGTCACGGTATGGGACTTTAAAAAGCTGGATTCACTTTGTTACATTTTTCTCTGCCCAAGTGGAGGCTGCATACAACCATTTTTTTCACTCCCTGCAAAGATTGCTTTTTATCACTTTGACAAGAAAGGATTTTCTATTTTTGTCCTATGCTTCAAATTTTAGAACAATATTTGGCTCTCGTTTCTCACGTGTTAACATTTCCCTTTCTTTTTTCTGTTTTTTTCATAAAGGGAAGTTGGGACTTTCAGTACATTAATTTTTGTTTTCAATTTGTAAAATAAGTAGAGATGACTTATACCACTTGATGATGTTAAACAATTGTCGTTAATAACAATTTAATTTGGTCCTACCACTTTAATTAATTCATGTCATACATCCACACGAGCAGAACGTTCATAAATTGTTGAGAGAAATCAAGCAATGTACAACATTTCTCATCATACCACATTGATATTGTATCTCTGAACTTTAAACGACATTCATCTATACAAGTGAGTCTTACTTCTATTATAAATGTGATACAAACAATTTTATCCACTTCCAAACACGTGAGGGAAAATACATTGTGCTAGTGACAGGGCTGACAATGGGTCGTGTTAGGTCGAATTCGTGGCATGTCTGGATCATATATGTGTCAAGAATACTCAACCCAAATTCGATCTGTTTAATAAATGTGTCATGTTGAGTTGACCTGCTAATTTTCTGTGCGAATTTCGAGTCGTGTATCTAGTTGACCCGCTAAGTGGTAGCAATTAAAAGAACTAAAAACAATTAGAAAAATGATGAATAAACAAAGAAACAAGTTAGCAGGTTGGCGGGTTACATGGTATTTTAGCGGGTTGGCAGGTCACATAGGTATTTTAGCAGGTTAAATAGGTATTTTCAATAAATGGGTTATATAAGTGTTTTAGTGAGTTGACCCGAAAATTTAATCGTGACTTGACCTACTAATTTTTAGTGTGGGTTTCGAGTCATGTCGGAAATTGCCACCCTAGGACTCAAATTCGATATGGAATTTGAATGAATCATGTTCTATTTAGGGGTAAAGATCATACTCCCACATCTCTCACAGGTAATGTTCTTTTCACTCTCAAAATATGACTAAAAGTACTGTTCCTGTTGTTCCTAAGCATCCTTGAAGCTACTCTATATTCACAGCTAACCTGAGTATCATAAGGTCATTAAAAGACGCAACAATGGTAGCACACGCCCAGCGCTCAAAATATTTCTACATTTACCTCAAGTGTAAGGATACAAAAAAATATTTTTCTCATAAAATTAAGGACAAGCAAGCAAGGAGCTTGTAGCTCAGGTGGTTAAAAGTAGTTTATCCGAGATCCTGTGTTCGAATTGCCCATCCCTCAATATAGCTTTCAAAAAAATTAAAATAGCTTTCTCAAAATAGTTCCTCATAGTTTTGCTGGCCATAGAGGCACCCATTTATAGCAGATGGAATCACATTCAATCTCTTAGTTTCAATGGATTTAGGTAGGAGTGTAGGTAGTTTTTGTTTTTGTTTTTTTCACAGCTAAAATCAAAGGCTCAAATAGACCTCACCTTTCCCTTTAAGGAGTCTGGTTTTGTTTGCCTTGCAAGATTGGAGTTGCCCTAACATGCCAACAATAAAGAACAACAGGTTACTTGTGGGACTGTATTTGTGTGACTCTACCACAGGTCTTGAGATGAAGGGCACTTGGTCTCCATGCCTCTTGTCCACTTACCTAACTTTGCATATAACTTTGCTTTGTTTTCGTACTTTTATCTTTCTCTTTCGGTGAACACAAGTTAATAGTGAGAAAGGAACATGAAGCTAGCTTTTATTTGTATGCTCTCATATGTTAGTTTCAGAAAAGGGTAGCCGAATTTGTTGAAACGAAAGGGCATAGGATCATCGTAAGGAGGGTTTGAAAAGGAGGTTTGGATAAAGACTACAGAGGGTAGGCTAGGATTGAAAAGTGCTCGCACTATTTTGAACTTCAACGTTGGATTTCAACATTTCACAATTTGTACATGCCACAGAGTCAAGTTAGCAAAAACTCAATCTAGAATTTATATGAAGTTTCTTCCCTTATTGTGTTTTAAATATCTCTACTCTGCAAGAGGCTTGTAGCCCATGTAGTTAAGAGCATTTACCTCTGCTTGAGGTCCTAAGTTCAATTCTCCCCTCCTCAATATCACTTATATACATATATATATATATATATATATATATCAGCTCCCTTCTATTGAGGGACGCCCTTCAGGGTACCATACAATTTTTTTTCCAATGATCCACACAATCTATTTTTTAGGTCTTCATTCATAGATCATCCTTACAAAAAATTAGACAAATCGGAAACCGTTTCGACATCCAATTGTGTCCTACAAAATCAATGAACACAATGCTTCAAGAAAGTACTAAAATTTCAATAACTCAATTGAATGGTCAAATGATATCGGATTCAAGTGATTTTTTGTAGATATGATATTTGAATGTGTATCTACAAAATAGACGGTTTGGATTAGTGAAATACAATCCGGAGTGGGCCCTACAAGGGATGTCCCTCAAATAAACTTATTTGAGGAATCTCTCAATGAAAGCTTATATATATATATATATATATAAAAAATATCTCTCCACTCTATGTCCGACACGGAATAACACTACATAACATCTGAAATGAAATTCTAAAAAAATAAAAATAAAAATAGAGCAATAAATCCACCTGACAAAGTGTCTGTATGTAAATGGGTCACACAACAGTACACGAAAGAAGAATTTCAAATTCCACAATACAAGCTATGGTAATTTCTTAACTTCATTTGATTTTGTATTGTTTACGTTACAAGCAGTGAAGACGGGGAACATAAATCGAAAGATAATCTTTGTTGGATCCTATTCTAAAGCAAATTGATAAAACTGGAGGATAAGATCATCCTAAAATTGATAACAATCTTATCACATATACATGCCTTTCCCCCATACCGTAAACCAAATATTCTATCTTAGATTTAATGGGGCTCTAGAATCGTATCTCTTGCAGCTAAAGCTGCAATGTGTTTAATCAATCAATAGAGACAAAACTGGCGGATAAGATCATCCTATAATTTCTAGTGAAACAAAATAAGGACAACAAAAATTTATGTTGCCCTTACCTAGTCTACATTTCCTCAATGTCAACCTCTTCTGTCAAAATTTGCATAAGCCTAACCTGTGTTGGGTGTACATTCGTATTTCCTAATCTTGGGGTGATGAAAATGGAGTGCAGCAGGAAGAGATATCGATTCCAGCAACCTCCATGGCATTGCAAACCCATTCAGGGACATCACCTTTCGGAAACTACAAGACAATAAGAATGTGAAGCATTTCAAAGCTAAGTTGTAGATACTGCACCAAGTCGCTCCTTAAAGAATAGAAAAGCTTACAAAGCAAACAACAGCAAAAAGGAAAGAAAGAATCATTTAAGGCACATATCTCTCTAATTTACGATGGCAGTCAAATTTGTTACCGGCAGTGCTACCAGTTGCTAATGGCACAGCAGACAACTAGAAGATCTTACTAATTTAGTAATTTATGATAAGAGGCAAATTTGACAGAGGCCAAACATTTTTATTTTAAAGATGTAGCAGAAGACCAAAGAAGATTCTAATAGCATAATAGTTTTCTCCTTTTCCTTTAAGATCACTCATATGAACATTGGATTGTGTTAAAAGTTGGGTGCACTGTGGATATGGATGATTTAGATTGCAGTACTGTCCATCCAACCACAACCATTTATTTCCCCCCCACCCAGAGAGAGAGAGAGAGAGAGAGAGAGAGAGAGAGAGAGAGAGAGAGAGAGGTCACACAGCCAATCTAGAACGTCAGACGCACAGAGAGAAAAGGAGGAAGGGCATCTAAAGGAAATACCATGGTTTGCAGAAATTCACGTACAAACCTGCAACAAGATTAACAAAATGTGACATGAGTAACAACCAGAACAAGTGAGAAATCACTTGAAAAAGCATTGTCAACAGGATAAAGTCCCTACAGTTACCCATAATAACATGTTTTTCTGGAAAGAACTCTGTTAAAAAACAAAAATAATAACAGCATGTATATCACATAATCACACAAACAATACAAGACTAAGGTTGAGAAGGGTAAAGCAGAGGCAAACATACTCTGGAAACGTTCCCTTGATTATTGATGAGTGCAGATTTCTACTTAGCTGCATTTAAGGGGAAAAAAGAGAGATTTTTGGTTATATGATATATAGGAAGACAATTATAGGGAAAATAATTTAATAACTTTTGTGTTAGAACCTTCAACATGTAATACAAATTGTGATATGACAGAAGCTGAGATCCCATAGCATCTTTTGTAACCAGGCAATGAATGTAAGCTCTAGTATAATTTTTGCAGACCTACATTTGAAGATAGAATGAAGCAGTTATACATCCTTGCACCACCTTATGCATTGATATTTCAAGCTAAAGATTAGTCCATTTATGCGTACCATACAATCACATGTAGGATCAATGGGACGGGTATCATCAGCCATCGCTTTGTGTTTGAGTTTGAGCACTCCCTGAAATATATAAATATCACACTAAAAATGAGAGGGAATCTTTTTCCTCTGGTTGAATTATGCATTCACATATAAAAAGAATATTGGGACCCCTTTTTATAAAAGCCATATGGAGGCACCCAATAAAAGTGCACCTGCAGTGGCTATATCCACATAAATATTGCAGGACAGTAGGTGCATGCAAACATAAAACATCAACTGGAAAATTTGAAGAACCCCAACTCATTTCAAGTATGAGCATTATGAAGTACAGAGATGATTGAAAAGCTATGAAAAGAAACAACCGTATTTGTGACATTCGTATATCAACAAATTTAATGAGGACAACTAGCTTAGCAGCTGATAGAAGAAGCAAGCCCAAAATTTATATCTGATAATAAATCATTCCCCCCATTCAAATTAAAAAAGACACAAGAGTGAAAAATGAAGTTCAAAGTTCAAACAAATAACCTGATCAAATAACACAATTAATCGCAAACTGTTTTGGAACTTACAGAGGTGCCAACCTAGTTGAATACTAAAGAAAGACACGAGGCTTTATCAGAAATCTAATTTTATCATTCAAGCGTTCAAATATAGGACTTGATGCAAGAAAAGTGATTTCAAATTGATTACTCCAAGTGATAACTATACAAGAAACCCTCTTTTGAAATGGGATTAATTTAGTAACTTTGAGGCAGTGTCAAAAAATTTGGCCACTACATGTGTATTTCTAATGCATATGTATATAACCGTTCATATAAAAATCTTTAGTACACAGTAGTTCACACGAAAAGAAATGATAAATACATACACGGACAGAGGGACTCTCGTAAGCAACTAAAATAAATAAACAATCATTCAAATGTTTTCATCCTAATGAAAGTAGTGTTACAATCATAGATGTAATGATTCAAGATTAGCTGCTTGAGGTGCTAACCAATGGTCTGCATGCATAGATATATTCAATAAAGATGTAAAAGTGTAGATCACATTGTTGAAGTCATCACCTCGGGTACAAGAGCTGTACCAAAGCGAGCAGTACGTGTAGGATAAACACAGTCATACATGTCAGCACCTAGAGCACTGCAAACTACAATATCCAGTGGATAGCCAACACCCTGAAAGAAGTGCAAGCAAATATCATGACTGAGAAAAAATAAAAAAAAGATCTAAAGGAGATTAGTTAAAATGGTAAGTCTCTAGCACCATAACATATCGTGGTTTCTCTTCAGGCAATGAAGCAGTACACTGTGCAACAACACGCCAAAATGAATCCTTACTTTCACCACCAGCAAGACCACCAATAGCATAGCTGTCACAGAAGTAAAATTTGTTAACTGAACTCCTTCAGTGGAAACTTTCCAAATCCCCCGAATGTTAGAACTGTAAACAAGTTGCTAATTCTGCAGAGAGTACGAATCAATAAACTTGAAGTTAAGGAATACAGAGAAAAGCTTGTTTTAAGTTTTAACCCTTCAGGGGAGAAAAGGATAGTTTTAAATGCTTTCTTCCACACTTTTAGAACACTATTGACCAAAAATAAATGACTGGCAGTATTGTCTCAGCAATTAAAAGAGGAAAATTGAAATAAGCTTTAGCTTTCAAAGACACTAATATAAATGACCAGAAATTTTAAATATGCAGAGCACATTTATGATGTTTTTGTGACATAGGCTACACTTATTGTCTAAGTGATTCATCACAGTTCATGTGTGCTACTATTTATTATAAAATACATTGAAACCCAACAACTATCTTTACTGGTTAACTTCAAAATCTAGAAAATGAAGTACTAATGTGTTAAATAAAGTGTTTTAAGTGTTTAATCTAGAATGAATCAGCCAGAAAAGAAAACACATACCCAGGTAAATTCCGATCCACCAAGCCTCTAACACATATATCTCTGTTCCCCACAAGTTATGACATAAAGCAATGTGTTATTACAAAGATAATAGTATGAGGAGCAGAAGAACAATAAAAAATGCATAAAACAATCAACACAAAGCAGGAAGATTACACGTTAGGTTGAAATTCACCTTAGTACAGGATCTAAGCCACCTTGTACAATACCAAATAAGTTCTGCTCATTTGGTCTCTTATGAGCTGTTTATAAAAGTCAAAGCAATAAGAACGTTGCTAAGCAGCCAACTCAAGAGCATTAAAACTGATAAGATAAAAAAAAATATAAGAAATGGCATGGAAGTTGCCAAATGAAGCTAAGTTAATAACAGGAGAAAGGTATATGCCAATCTAAGAATCTATAGGACTATTATGGATGACTTGGGGATCTAGGGCAAGAAGGAACAGCTCAATACATATGTATAATGAAACAGTTGGCATCTTGATGTTGTAAATGTAAGAAACTCGCTAGTTAACCATTATTGGACCTTCAAAACAGGCTTTCACCTAATCAAACAAATTTTGAAGTGCACAGTAGCCGAAGCTCTAAAGCCTGAGGAATGATCTTCTGCGTAATCTAGGCACTTATGGCAGATTGTCAGCATGGCTTTATCAAATCTTGAGTTGATTATATATCAGTACACATACATACATACATATATCTACTTACAAGTAAATATTCAAGAAACTTCAGTGACAATCACTGCTACATATCCTAGATTACCTTCAATACATCTGTCTATCCATCGTATAGTGCGATATGTGGCCTCCTCAATTCTTGGACCAGTGATGGTGGTTTTGACTACATCATCAAGGGCCATAATAATATCTGCTCCAATTCGGTTCTACACAAGTCATTGACAGTACAGAAGGGAAGATAGAGGGGAAGCACATGGTCAGAAAATTAATGCTTCATCTGGACTCAATATCTTGAAAGCTTTGCTCTATGCTATGAGTGCACTACTTTATATTGCAAATAAATTATGGAAATTTACAGTGACCAGGAAAAGTTGGAACGAGTCATTCTTTTTTATTTTGACAAAAAGAGAGGTGCAGATCTAAGGAACTAATCATTCTGCATTGAGCATATATTTTGCTCCTATGAATGCCATTATGCAATTATCTTGCTGAACACATATATTTTTAATGTATTCTTTTATTACTTATAAAATTTTAATTACATTTTGGTTTGCCTAGATAATGGGCTTTGTTTTAAGAGTTTAGACTTTGATACTCCATTTTTCTTTCCTTTCTCTCTCTTTCTTCCATAATTCCATATCTCCCAGTGCTACCTCAGCATCATTATAACATCTTGATGTAGGGGGCACTCAATGACATAGTATGACTCAAACAAATCCAGTCAAAGACCTCGGTAACTAACAGAAAAAAAAATGCCCCTAGATTACCACAAACGAAATGAAATAGATGTACGTACTTGGATTTGAATTGACTCTTCAGGTGTCAAGAGCATTGGCTTCCCATCAACTGGTGACTGATGTAGGAGAAATGACATCACCCATGTCAACATGAGATAAAAAGATATAAGTAAACTATTTTTTTTTTTTTTTAAAAAAAAAAAGCTTAGAATTACAACAGCTTTCAAAATTTTGAAACAATAATCTTAGGATAAATTGTGTTCACTGGCAACACAAAATGATACCAAAAGTAACACTTATCTGTTTACTACCTTATAGCATCATGGACCAAACAAAATAGTTCTCTCTCTTTTCCTAAAACCCAATTCTTTAGGAAGTTTATTATGAGTATGACATATAGGCACTTAAAAATGAGGACAAAATAGTCAACTGATTAACAATTGAGGACAAAACAGATTAAGCATAGAGGTATCTCCATCCCCTCTTCTGTTCTATTCACTTCTCTCCAGTACACCACATCAAACATGAAGCCACGTCACCCTTCCAGCCTTCCCATGTCCATCGATTCCTACTTTTTATTTCAACTTAACCAAATTTGGTGCTTTAATCTTTTTCCCTTATTTCATAGAAGAAGAGTATTGGAGACAACTTGTTTGTGATGTTGAAAAATTTCCAGAGCTTCATCCGGTGACGAATAATAGCTCAACATGAGGCGAACTAAACAATAATGATTCAACAACACCTAAACAACAATATGCATTGCCAAAATAAGATATTACCTGAAATGTTACACCCTCTTCAGTGATGTCAGCTAAATGCAACAATGAAACCTGAAAAACATTAACAAAATGAATTTTAAGATTTAACAAGATGTATTATTATTAAACCAGAAAAACAATGTCCATGCAAGGAACATTAAGGAACTAACCAACAAAACAACCACAAAGTCAATAGCATGAGTTCATCAATCAAAGCTTAAAAATAATTATCAAAATTAGGCTAGAAGTTCTGAAAGAAAACCCCTTTAACTTCTACCTTAGCATATATTAGAAAGTAAGCTGGTTAGTAACCACATCACTGTTAGCACACCATATTTGATATGGCATTTAGTATGTTAGTAATTGAATGCAGTAAGAAAGCAAGTCACAGGGGCAGCAGATACAGTAGACTTGTTCCCTTGCCTCCTAGACAAATGCGGCATACTTAAATGAGGGAAAGCTTAACCCTATTAACATATATTACAATTTAACTAGTAAGAATGCATAGATACACAAATTACGACAACTTGGATAATCAACATGAAAAATGGATGGGCAGGAGGTGGAGGGATTGAGGACAAGAAAATTCACCAAAATGCCCAATTATCGGTTGGATTTGTTGCATAAATAGTTCCAAATGAGAAAATCATGAATTCATGTTTGGTGGAAGTATGTAAATAGCAGTCTATGCAAGCAATAAGGACATCAACCAAACCCCTAGAGATGAAAACAATTTAAAAGGAAAAACAACAATAATCTGATCAAATTTAGCATAGAGTGCAGTATTGAGGGAAAATAACCATCTGAAAGCCACCAGAATCAGTAAGCAATGCTCTTGGCCAGTTCATAAATTTGTGGAGACCTCCCAAATCATCAATAAGCTCAGAGGTAGGACGAAGTGCCAAATGATATGTATTCCCCAGTATTATTTGGCAACCAATCTCTTCAAGCTGTTCAGTTGTCAACCCTTTTATAGTTCCTGAAACCGTGAAAACCTTATCCGTATCATCGATTACTAAATACAACAAAGCCTAGGGCATTATGGTTTTACACATGTGCACATGAACATCTATATGAACCCAGAAAACGTTATCAGCACATAGAATATTGGATAAAATATAAGCGAAATTGGTGTGCACGCTTGCACGATTCTGCCAGCCAACCTTACCCATAAGCATCTAAAGATAGCCCCAAGAATACGTATTCTCTCAATGCCTAAGTTGACATATCACATATCCCACATCAATTGAATTGGAAGCAAATTAGCAACAGAGCTTGTGGTTCTCCAAAACAAATAACATTGATATTTGACAGGTAGAATCTGATAATCTATATAGTTATATGTATAGATTGAATTTGGTAGGCTAGTTAAAGCAACAACCTTGTGTTCCCACAGGCATGAAAAGAGGCGTCTGGCACACGAAGTGAGGGAGGGTCAGTCTAGCTGCTCGAGCACGGTTAAACCTACCTAAAACCTGAATTACAAAACACAAAACCAACTTCCCATATCAGTAAACATAAAAAAAAAAACCCAAAAAAAGGAAAACATAAACATAAACACTCCATTGGTTAATGAGCTTATGAATCTTTCATGCATATTCTTATGCAAAAATAAGAACCAAAAAAAAAAATTATATATATATTGGCATGAGAAAGTTTAGCCTAGAGTTCAAAACCCTACCTCAAAACGAAGAGCCATTCGAAAAAGTTTATCTATGCTGCAGCAGCCTTAGCCTGTATGCCAAAACCGTAACTTGTAATGTAATGGGTTTACAGATTACCAACTATAATATATGTAAAAAGCAAAGGCAAAGAGAAGAAGAAGGAGGAGGAGGTTGTAATATGAGCAAATGATTCAATGAAGAAGAGTGGGTGGCGGCTGAGTTTTGTGTGTGCCGCCGCTGGCGGCTACGAAGCCTTTGTGTTGTGTTCTGTTATGTTTGGTTTCCGCTCTTGGAAAGCCGCGGACTAGGGGATTCTCGGTTTTATATAGGATTGAATTTTGGGAAATTGGTGGCTATGTCCCCGGAAACAATGTTTTATTCAATAATGTCCCAATTTTTGAAACTCATTCAAAAACATCCCTTCTAAAACCTCCCTATTGCCCGCGTATCGCCCCTATTTCACTTTGTTTTTTTGACGTTCTGATCTGAGCTCTCTCATATCATCTTCTCTCTGGTCTTCTTCCCTTCTTCTTCTTTCTGCAAAACATCAGAGAAAATCCACATCAACCATCCACCTCATCTCGCCTAATTCCCCTCTCCTCTCTCCTCTTTCTGCATCTTGTGCATTTCATTGGTCTCTCGCTCTCACCCACATCGGCGACGGCAACTGTCACCTCCTCAGAAACCCTAACCCACATCGGCGACGGCGACCTCACCCTCTCTCTTTCGGCCCCCGCTCTCCACCCCCCTCCATCACCTCTTTCGACCGCCGTTCTTCCCCTCCGGTTCAACAAATTTCTCAATTTTCCTTAGCTTTCCTGAAATCCATATACTAGAGATGGCGTCTCAGGTATCCAGCTCAGCTTTTCTCCTTTACTTTCATACCCATCTGTTATTTGGGTTTTCTTCTGCTTGTTTCAATTTCATATCTGGTTTGGGATTTTTGGTGCTAGTTAAATTTGAGTGAGATTGTACATAAATTTGTTGAAACATAATTGTGGGTTTAATTTAAAATTTTACTCTCGCTCTTTACAAATAATATTTTCAGCTTGTGTAGAGAATGTTATTTCAGTTGGATTCTACAAAAACTTTTTAAACTAAAATTTTGGGTTGAGGAATATTATGCTTGAAGCTTGAAGCTTGTCCAGGCTATAATAATTTTGAAGTTTTTCTTTTGCTTATTGAATTTTATCACTGAGTTAGGTTTTTATTCTGACCAAAAACAATTGAATAAACACAGCTATTTGGTTCAATGGTCTCTTGGTTTTATAGGAATTTTTTATGTAATATGAAGGAACATTCGGGCCACTTGAAAGCGTTCTGCACCTTCAAGAATCTATTATGGTATGAATTTGTTTTGTTCTGTTTTGGGATGTGTTTTTTGAATAGACTACATAAATTGAGAGAAAGAACAGAAATTGATTATGTCTTGAAGTGGAGCACATCTCCAAAAGTGATTGGAGAGTTTGTAATTTTCATTTCGCCCATATTTTAAAATAAGTTTGATACTGTGAAGTTGGCATATGTTGGATTTCGGTTTTCTCTATTATTCGTAATTCAATTTTGGATCTGTTTTTGGTGCAGACTACAGTCTTCAAGGTTGGTATGTCATGCCAAGGCTGTGTTGGTGCCGTGAAAAGGTTCTTGGAGAACTTGAAGGTTTGTTGAAAGCTCCTGCATTTATCCAGTTCAATTGTCTTGCTCTTCTTCTTCTCTGAGACTTTGCTTCTTTAAGTGTTTGTAATATACTATAAGAATAGTAGAGTCCATGCTTTGTTGATTTCATATTATCTTGATAATGATGGGATATGTTCTTTCTCATCATCTTCAGGCGTAGAATCATATGACATTGATTTTGATGCACAGAAAGTGACGGTGAAAAGCAATTTACCACCCGAGACAGTCCTTCAAACCGTTTCCAAAAGTGGCAAGAAGACTGCCTATTGGGAAGCAGAAGCACCAACAAAGCCTGAAGCAAAGCCTGCAGAAGCGGTGGCTGCTGCTTAGTCTTGGCCAATTTAACGTGGACGTAGTCGTTCAATATGTCTTAAGTTTATGAAATTGGTATGGTGTCCTTAAACAATCGAGCACTCGTTCAACTTTTCCTTGCTTTCTTTTAAAAAGATAGATAAATAGTATAGCCGAGCGGCTAAACCCGGGACCCCTTTTAATTTGTTTAGAAATAAATAGTATAGCCGGGCGGCTATACGGGGGTAACTTTTTTAAATTTTTTTAATGAGTTGTATAGCCGGGCGGCTATACATTTTAAATATATTTGAATATTTTAAAAGTTCCGCCGCCCGGCTAATACTCCTGGTGCCACCCAGGCGAAAGACGGGTCATTTAACAAATAATATAGCCGGGCGGCTATACTTAGGTCCCATGCTTATTATTTTTTTAAAAAAAATAAATTGTATCGCCATGCGGCTATATTCTTTAAATGTATACTAATATTTTAAATATTGTACACGTCTTCAATACTCGATAATGTACATGTTTTATAAAAGACCCAACACCCAAAATGGAGGTTGAAATTATAAAAAAACCCAACACCCAAAACACTTTATAAACACACCCAAAACCCATCATTACACACACTTAAAACCCATTTATAAACACACCCAAAAAGTTGACTTTGGGGTTGATTTTGGGTGTGTTTCTATGTTTAAATAGTGCTTGGGTTTTTTTATAAATACATGCCTATGATTGGGTTTTTTTATAAATTTGTATTTATAAAATTCAAACATACAATACACATATTGTACACTTACATACGTATTTTTCTAATTTACAAAATTTTCAGTATATATAGCATATAGCCGGTCGGCTATACTGCTGAGGTTTCCAAATTTTTTTTCAATTAGTGGTATAGCCGGCCGGCTATACTCGTTTTCTTTTTTAAAAATAAAATGAATAGTATCGCCGATCGGCTATACCCTGGAACCTTTTTTAAATGTTTTTTAATAAATAGTATAGCCGCGCGGCTATACCCAGGGGCCGTTCTTTTATAGTATAGCCGCGCGGAAATACAGTGAATACAACATATGTAAGTATAGCCGGGCGGCTATAAACGTTTTTGGAGTATAGCCAAGCGGCTATACGTGTTAACTATGCACTAATATTTTAAAATTATAGCCGCACGGCTATACACTACAAATATATTTGAATATTGAAACAGTATAGCCGTTCGGCTATACCGTTAAGTTATATCTTAGCCTTTTTGAATTACTTAAATTAGTAATTATCTTTTAATTTTTATTTCTTTAGTGAATGACTAGTATTTAAATATTTTACTAATTTCACAAATTACTTAATAAATAGTAATGAATTATTTTTATGGACTTTGTTTTTTAATTTTTTTTATACAAAATTTGTTTGTTTAGCTTAATATTTCCAATTAAGTAATATCTTAGCTTTATTTAATTATAATAATAATTATTTATGTTTTAATTATTCTTTATTTAATGAGTAATTGTATTTAATTATTTTAATTAATTTCATAAATTACTTAATAAATACTAATTAATTATATTTAAGTATTTTAAAATTTGTTTTTAATTTCCTAATATATTTTAGAAAGAGTTTCAATTATTATAAAATTATTTTAGTATTCCAAAAATGGATTTAAGCCTCTAAACACTAAATCCAAGTCTCAAACCCTAACCACAAGACTACTATGGGGGCACTCATGACACGATTAGGTTTAGATACTTACATAACTCAACCTAGGGTTTTACGATTAGAGTTTCAATCTCAATATGCGGTTAGTACTATATAACTGGACCTAACCCTAGTTAATTTAGTGCACCTTGATGAAGATTTTACCAAATGCATTTGGTCAGTTAAACATTGAAGAGTATATTTAAAGAGCTTTTCCTCATTTTAAGAACGTTTTCGGTGTTTGCATTTTGGATTTCGTATTAGGTTTACATTGGGTCAAATATTTCTGTGGCGAGCCCGAGGGGCCGTTCTTTTATAGTATAGCCGCGCGGAAATACAGTGAATACAACATATGTAAGTATAGCCGGGCGGCTATAAACGTTTTTGGAGTATAGCCAAGCGGCTATACGTGTTAACTATGCACTAATATTTTAAAATTATAGCCGCACGGCTATACACTACAAATATATTTGAATATTGAAACAGTATAGCCGTTCGGCTATACCGTTAAGTTATATCTTAGCCTTTTTGAATTACTTAAATTAGTAATTATCTTTTAATTTTTATTTCTTTAGTGAATGACTAGTATTTAAATATTTTACTAATTTCACAAATTACTTAATAAATAGTAATGAATTATTTTTATGGACTTTGTTTTTTAATTTTTTTTATACAAAATTTGTTTGTTTAGCTTAATATTTCCAATTAAGTAATATCTTAGCTTTATTTAATTATAATAATAATTATTTATGTTTTAATTATTCTTTATTTAATGAGTAATTGTATTTAATTATTTTAATTAATTTCATAAATTACTTAATAAATACTAATTAATTATATTTAAGTATTTTAAAATTTGTTTTTAATTTCCTAATATATTTTAGAAAGAGTTTCAATTATTATAAAATTATTTTAGTATTCCAAAAATGGATTTAAGCCTCTAAACACTAAATCCAAGTCTCAAACCCTAACCACAAGACTACTATGGGGGCACTCATGACACGATTAGGTTTAGATACTTACATAACTCAACCTAGGGTTTTACGATTAGAGTTTCAATCTCAATATGCGGTTAGTACTATATAACTGGACCTAACCCTAGTTAATTTAGTGCACCTTGATGAAGATTTTACCAAATGCATTTGGTCAGTTAAACATTGAAGAGTATATTTAAAGAGCTTTTCCTCATTTTAAGAACGTTTTCGGTGTTTGCATTTTGGATTTCGTATTAGGTTTACATTGGGTCAAATATTTCTGTTAAGGTGGATAAATGAGTGAGGATTCTAATAGGTTAAAGATTGATTATTTTCAATGCAAAATAAATATTAAAAAAATTTATTCATTAGCAAATTTTCAACTTCTCTTATTTCCTATGGAATATATGGAAGCAATTATTCAAGCCCCATTAATACTTGGACATAAACCAGTCCAAAGGAACAAAATTGTCCATTGGGTATGAGCAGGAAAGAAAATCCTCACCTAATTAGCCATTAATTAGGTGCATATGATGTTGAATCATGTGGACAATAACGCTATGATAAGCGTTTTTGGTGTTTGGATTTTGAATTTCGTATTGGGTTCACGGTGAGTCAAATATTTGAGTACGGTGGATAAATGAGTGAGGATTCTAATAGGTTAAAGATCTGATTATTTTCAATGCAAATAAAAAATATTAAAAAAAAAGTCTTCACTAGCTAATTTTCAACTTCTCTTCTCTCCTATGGAATATGTGAAGTAGTTATTAAAGCCCCAATAATACATGAATGTAAACCGGTCCAAACGAACAAAATTGTCCATTGGGTATGAGCGGGAAAGAAAATCCTAGCCTAATTAAGCATTAATTAGGTGCATATGATATCGAATCATGTGGCCAATGACGCTATGACAAACGTGATAACACTTCCACTTGACATGTCATTATTAGTTGGGATAGCAAAACAATACTATTCCTGTTGTAACTAAGTTTTTCTCAGATGACAAAGAATGCTTCCCCTACTAGGGCAAAGTGAGGCTCAGGCCCATCACATGTCCAAAAGCCTAGAAAGGTAAAAGGTCAAACATGACTAACTAAGGGAAGTCCAGTAGGATCCATTATTGGTCAATAAGCATCCGATAAGTTAGTTACAATGACATATTTCCATATCCATCAAGACTAGTGAACCAAAGATCACACATATCCAAATTAAGTGATTAGCCTACGTTCCTAAGTTAAACAAGTAATTGACTTGATGTGTGTACTAATCGGTCTTAATATACCAAATCAACGCACGGTAAGTTGTCTCTCACGACAATAAATCAACAAAGTTAACATCCATCTCATGGAGAAGGTCATTGTTCCTTGAACTAAGAACCCTACTATTTGCTTAGACTGCTTTTGCAAAGACTTGTGCATAAAATGTTTTTTTGACTCGCACCACACTATTGTGTTCAAATACTTTGAACGTATTTTCTTCTTGGTTTTAGGGTGCAAAGGTCCATTTAAATGATCGGAAAATTTATGTCCCTCATAATGTTATAGTAAGGGGTGATGAGAAATTGGATTAAAGATGAGTCAAAATCTTAATTTGATGTTGTTTACTAAACTATATAAGTAAAAATGATATTGATTTCATGTAAGGTGGTATTTATTGAAATTGAAATCAATTGAGTTTCTAAAATTTCATTGTTGTTCAAAATTATATAGGGAGGGGATGGAGGAGGCAAAGCCGACCTAGTCCTCTCCTCGCCCCATTGCCAACTCTTGCACTTACTATAATAACCTTAATCTTAAATAAATTATTTAAATAGTTTAATATAATAGTTAACATTTTCCTATTTGTTTGTTTGTTTGTTTGTTTTTTTTTTTTTTGTGTTTCCACAAATAGGTTCATTATAATATAACATTTTATACCAAAATCCTTAATGTGTTACTTGTCATTTTCTAATTAGTTTTTAATGTGTTATAATTTTATAAGAATCAATTATAAAATGACACGTGGTAATTGACAACTAAAAAGCAAGGGAATACATAAAGTTTAATTTTCCTTTTTTACATAGAAATTAGAGTTGCATGATTACTTCATATGCGCAATACGACGCCGTGCTGCGTTTCTGTAGAAAAATAAAACCAGACATTGGCCCGACCCGCATCAGCCCAACATTCATTTCCAGCGTAGCGAGACATGAAATACGGGTCAACTGTTCCGGGTCCGTAACCCAACGTGAGTAACCACCACAGTAATGAAAACAGGTCATATCTGACATAATGGAGGATGAAATTTCAGAAAATCGGACATCGCAATTTCCTCAGATCTTCGCAGCTGAACGCAGCAAATTGAAACCCTAGTTTTACTAATCCACCATAGTCATCTTCATCGGGTACCTACAATCTTCATCTTTCAGTTAATTCACTTTTAGAATCCACTAATCCGTCACTGGCATTACTAATTTCCATTCTCTAATCCGAAGCTCCGAAATGTGATTCGTTT